GGATGAAGAGGCAGCTGACCAGCAGTTGGCATCTGGCGACTCGAACCAACATCTCATGTCCCATAGTGGTCCTATCAGTGCCACACGTCGTTGGTACACTGGTACAACAGGCATGGACCCCTAAACTGCAGAAAACACGTTAACACACATGCTGAAAGAAACTGAGCCTGCAACATGTTAAACACATTAACCCCTCTGACTAACTCCTTCCTGCTGCCGACACTGCAGATTGTGATAAGTGACAAACTGGCCAAGACAGGAACTCCATGCATGATGGGATATGTAGTTTTCTCTAGGTCCTCGTAATGTTTTCTATGACATTAGTGGAAGATATTGGCTGTTTATTGCAGGATTTACAAATGTATCCATGGTCCATGTATTTTTGTATAGGATTAAACTACAAAGTGGACACTTTCCAGTTCTGCTATAAGTGCTGCAGTTTGTACAGAGAATCTTTAATATTTACTAAACTGCAATGTGAAGAAAAATGTGTTTCCTCCAAATTCCTGATCATGTACAAAAGAAACCCTTCACCTGCTTAGAGTTGGATGCCATTTTTGGCATGGGTAGGGATTCATTTTAATTGATGTCACCTCCCTTTATCACTTCAGTTTGTTAGACTGTTAGCCCCAGTTCACACTGTGGCTCGCAAGTAAATCGCACAGGAACTGCACCGCATAGCAAAAAAAAAAAAAATGCGCAGGCACCTTTTTTTGAGCTGCACTGGAACCAGATTGCATGGTTGTTTTGTACAATGTGATCTGGTGTAGGCAAATGCACTACGTTTGCGACCTGCGCTTGGATTGTCATTAACTTTGAATTAACAGCTGTAGCAGATCGCAAAGCACAGTGCGGAAAATGCACAAGCTTTGTGGCATTTCCCGCACCACGTATGAGCGAACCTAGGCTTAAACTGGCTATACATGGCTTGCACTTCGCCCTATTCCTGCTGATCTGATCAAATACAGGCAGTCGGAGGCTCTGTTGGCACCACCTAGCTCCACAAACGTCGATGAAAAATCAAAATGTATTATTTTGACCAAACAGTGACTGCAACCTATCAGATACAGTAACTGTTCGGATATTCATACAGCTGCAGTAATATAGAGGTGGGATAAAAGTATTAGTGCAGCATAACACTTGTGGTAGTTAGATAGTACATTTTGTATAGAGATGTACACATCAGAGAAATAAGAAGGACAGCTGAGACTGCCAGAGGGACAAAGGGATTTGGTGTGAAAACCAGAGACAGTCCCTCCAAACAAGGGACGGTTGGGAGCTATGGAGAAGTGGCGATTTAAGACCCCTTTCACATGGGGTAGAATTGGTTTTCTATCTGCTTGCTCAGTGGGGGATCTGTCTGGTCATCCCCCTTGCTGAGCAGAGCGGGATGGATCACTGGTCCACCTGTGTGCATGGGATGATGGGGTTGATACTTCTGATTTATTTATTTATTATAATTTAATTTTTCACTTACCTAATGAGATAGAATTGGGCAGGGGACAGACCCTCTTTATGGAGAGTCTCAAATAGGTAAAAGGGTCTAGTTGTGGTACAGTGCATCCAGAAAATATTCACAGCTCTTAACTTTTGCCATATTTTGTTATGTTACAGCCTTATTCCAAAATGGATCAAAATTAATTTTTTTTCCTCAACATTCTACAAACAATACCCCATAATGACAACTTGAAAGAAGTTCATTTTTAAATCTTTGCAAGTTATTAAAATTAAAAAAACAAAACAAAAAACACATGTACATAAGTATTCATAGCCTTTGACATGACACTCAAAATTGAGCTCTGGTGCATCCTGTTCCCACTGATCATCCTTGAGATGTTGCCACAACTTGAATGGAGATCACCTGTCGGAAATTCTGTTGATTGGACAGGATTAGGAAACACATAAACCTGTCTATATAAGGTTAACAGTGCATGTCAGAGTACAAACCAAGCCATGAAGTCCAAGGAATTACCTCCTGACAGGATTGTATCAAGGCACAGATCTGGGGAAGGGTACAGAAACATTTCTGCAGCATTGAAGGTCTCAATGAGCACAGTGGCCTCCATCATCAGTAAATGGAAGTAGTTTGGAACCACCAGGAATTTTCCTAGAGCGGGCCGCCTGGCCAAAATGAGCAATTGAGGGAGAAGGGCCTTACCTAGGGAGGTAACCAAGCACCCAATGGTCACTCTGAAAGAGCTCCAGCGTTTCTCTGTGGAGAGAGGAGAACCTTCCAGAAGAACAACCATCTCTGCAGCACTCCACCAATCAGGCCTGTATGGTAGCGTGACCAGACAGAAGTCATGCCTCAGTAAAAGGCAAATGGCAGCCAGCCTGGAGTTTGCCAAAAGGCACCTGAGGGACTCTCAGACCATGAGAAACAAAACTCTTTGGTCTGATGAAACAAAGATTGAACTCTTTGGCCTGAATTCCAAGTGTCATGTCTGGAGGAAACCAGGCACTGCTCACCACCTGGTCAATACCATCCCTACAGTGAAGCATGGTGGTGGCTGCATCATGCTGTGGGGATGTTTTTCAGCGTCACAGACCAGCAGACTAGTCAGGATCAAAGGAAAGATGAATGCAGCAATTTACAGAGACATCCTTGATGAAAACCTGTTCCAGAGCACTCTGGGGCGACGGTTCATCCTTCAACAGGAAAATGACCCTAAGCACACAGTCCACATAACAAAGGAGTGGCTATGGGCCAGATCTGTGAATGTCCTGGAATGGCTCAGCCAGAGCTCAGACTTGAACCCGAATGAACATCTCTGTAGAGATCTGAAACCTGATGGAGCTTGATAGGTACTGCAAAGAAGAGTGGGAGAAATTGCCCAAAAACAGGTGTGCCAAGCTTGTAGCATCATACTCAAAAGGACTTGAGGCTGTAATTGGTGTTAAAGGTGCTTCAACAAAGTATTAAGCAAAGGCTGTGAATACGTATGTACATATGGTTTTTTTTTTTTTTTGATTTTTAATACATTGCAAAAATGTCAAAACAAACTTCTTTCATGTTGTCATTATGGGGTATTGTTTGTAGAATATTGAGGAAAAAAATGAATTTAATCCATTTTGGAATAAGGCTGTAACAAAATGTGGCAAACATTAAGTGCTGTGAATACTTTCTGGATGCACTATATCATTGGTATTTGACATTACCATAGATAAATTCTCAGCCTGCAGATTAGAATCTTCACATGGGGCAGCACAATGGTCAAATGGTTAGCACTTCTGCCTGGCAGCACTAGGGTTGCTGGTTTGAATCCCAACCACGGCACCACCTGCCTGGAGTTTTCATGTTCTCCCTGTGCCTGCATTGGTTTCCTCTGTGTATTCTGGTTTCCTCCCACACTTCGAAGACACGCTGGTAGGTTAATTGGCTCCTGTCTAAATTGGCCCTAGTATGTGTATGAATGTAAGTTAGGGATTTTAGATTGTACACCCCTTGAGGGTTAGGGACTGATGTGAATGTAAAATACATATGTTAAGTGCTGCGTAAATTGACAGCGCTATACAAGTACCTGTAATAAAAAATAAGGTACTTGTCTGTTAATTCACTGGATTTATTTATTTTTATATATATATTTTTTATGTTTTATTTAAATATATAAAAAATATATATATATAATAAATCCGGTGAATTAACAGACAAGTACCAAAACTAATAACATTTCTGCACACATAGGAAAGAATCAGGACTAAAAACCAGCAGGCAGCGCCCCCCAGTGGCTATAGACACATTCACAATGCCAGCAAATTCTACATGTAGCTTTATGGCCATGCAATCCAGTGCATTTTGTTTTCTGCATCAAAGGCTACATGGTTTCCAATGGCATAGTTCACATCAGTGCGGTCAGTTCCAGGGCATTCCAGCTCCATAAAAAAAATAGAACATGCTGCATTTTTCCTGCACTGGACTGTACTGAAGTGCAGTAAAACACGTCAAAAAATGCACAAGGATGCACCAAAAATGAACTGGACCCCAATACAGTGAAAAAAAAAAAAGAAAAAAAAAAGCATCTGAAATGCATCCGTAAACACATCACAAATGCAACAAAAACTCACCGGAATGCATAAAAATGAGTTAAAAACGTGCATGCAGAAACACATCCGGAACGGATCTGAAGTGCGTTTTTTTTAGGCTGAAATAATTCTACAGTTCCAAAAATACTTATGTGTTAGCAGGTATTGAAATAGTTAAACTGCATGCATGCACAGTCTTCTCCTCCCTAACATCCCTTTTCCTCTCTCTGATCACAACATTATCAGCTCCACACTCTCCATGTCTCCTACCTCCCATGCCTCCAACCAGCAAACCGTTACCCATAGAAACCTCTACCACCTCAGCCCTTCCCTTCTCCACTCTACTACTGAGGGCCTATATGATACAATTGCACCTCTGTCCTGCCCAAACTTGGCCACATCTGTCTACAACAACTTACTATTATCCTCCCTGGATACACTTGCTCCTCTCTCTACATGCAGAACCAGGCCTCGCCTGTCACAACCCTGGCAAACAGATGACACCAGAAGTCTCGAGACACAGCCATACTCTTGAGTGATCATGGCGTAAAACTAAATCCTTGCAAGACTTCACCCTCTACAAATCCACCCTTCTCAAATACAACTTTAGCCTCCAAGCTGCTAAACAACCCTTCTGCAACACTCTCATCAAAACCCTCTCATTCGATCCTCGTCAGCTCTTTTCTACCATTTTCTTACTCCATCCCCCACTGCTTCCACACCAACTTACATTATATTGCCAAATGTATTGGGACACCCCTCCAAAACATTGGATTCAGGTGTTCCAATCACCTCCATGGTCACAGGTGTATAAAATCAAGCACCTAGGTATGCAGACTGCTTCTACAAACATTTGTTAACCACCTTCCGCCCCCCATACAGTACAATGACGGGTACAAGGTGGTTCTCTCGTTCTGATAGGACGTCATATGACGTCCTTCCATTCTCACCGCACATGCGCGGCTCAGGGAGCGTGCTGTGCGCCGATCGCCAGTGCACTGTGTCCCTTGGACACAGTGGATCACGGAAAGAGCCGAAGATGTCGGCTCGGTCATGTGATCAGCTGTGTCCAATCACAGCTGATCACATGTAAATACGGAAATGTTGGTCATCGGCATTTCTCTCCTCTCGAGCTATCACGCTGACAGCTCGAGAGAGAGAGGAGAGCCGGTAATCGGCTTTCTGCGGAGGGGACATGTACACTGATCATCAGGGCACTGATGATCAGTGTGCCCTGATGATCAGTGTGGCCCCAGAAGTGCCACCTATCAGTGCCAGTCAGTGTCGCCTATCAGTGCCGCCTAACAACAGTGCCAGTCAGTGCTGCCTAACAGTGCCATATATCAGTGTCATGTATCAGTGCTGCCTTTCAGTGCCCATCAGTGATGCCTGTCAATGCCCATCAGTGCCACCTATCAGTGCCTATCACTGCAACCTCATTAGCGCACATCAGTGAAGGAGAAAAATCACTTATTTACAAAATTGTATATCAAAACTAAGAAAAAACGTTTTCTTTTCAAAATTTTCAGTGGTTTTTGGTTTGTTTAAGAAAAATAAAAAACCCAGAGGTGATTAAATACCACCAAAAGAAAGCTCTATCTGTCTCAAAAAAATGATAAAAATTTCATATGGGTACAGTGTTGCATGACCGCACAATTGTCATTCAAAGTGTGACAGCGCTGAAAGCTGGAAATTGGCCTTGGGAAGAAGGGAGTATAAGTGCCCTGTAGGCTAGTGGTTAAAGAATGGGTCGCTCTAAGGAGCTCACTGAATTCAAGTGTGGTACCGTGATAGGTTGCCACCTGTGCAATAAGTCCATCCGTGAAATTTCCTTGCTACTGTCTGCAGAGTCAATAGCTAAAGACCTCCAAACTTTGTGTGGCCTTCAGATTAGCACAACAACAGTGCATAGAGAATTTCATGGAATGGGTTTCTTTTGCTTAGCAGCTGCATCCAAACCTTACCTCACCAAGTGCAATGTAAAGGATCGGATGCTGTGGTATAAAAGCACGCCGCCACTGGATTCTAGAGCAGTGGAGATGTGTTCTCTAGAGTGACAAATCACACTTCTCTTTCTGGCAATCAGATTGACGTGTCTGGGTTTGGTGGTTGCCAGGAGAACGGTACTTGCCTTACTGCATTGTGCCAAGTGTAAAGTTTGGTGGAGCTTGGCCCCTTAGTTTCAGTGAAGGAAAATCTCAAGGCATCAGCATACAAAGGCATTTTGGACAATTTCATGCTCCCAACTTTGTAAGAACAGTTTGGGATGGTCCCCTTCTGTTCCAACATGGCTGCACACCAGTGCACAAAGCAAAGTCCATAAAGACATGAATGAGTGAGTTTGGGGTGGAGGAACTTGATTGGCCTGCACAGAGTCTTGACCTCAACCTGATAGAACATCTTTGGGATGAATTAGAGCAGAGACTGCGAGCCAGGCCTTCTCATCTAACATCAGTGCCTAACCTCTGAAATGTACTTCCGGAAGAATAGTCAAACATTCCCATAAACACAACTAAACCTTGTGGACAGCCTTACCCGAAAATTTGAAGCTGTTATAGCTGCAAAGGGTGGGCCAACTCAATATTGAACCCTACAGACTAAGACTGGGATGCCAGTTTATAGTTTATATGCATGTAAAAATAGGCATCCCAATGTTTTTAGCAATAGTGTACTTACTGCCCAGGAGTTTGCCACTCATTTCAAGAACAAGATCGACACAATTCATGATGAGATCTCCGGTGTGAAGCTTCCTCCTCCAACCAACATACCAGGCCCAACACTACATTCAATACTCTCTCCTCCTTCGACCCTGTTACCACCGAAGAAGTTACCAAACTCCTTTTCAAGGCTCACCTCACCACCTGTCCCCGTCCCCTCATGATTATTGCGACCTCTTTCCTGCTCTATCCTAAACTCTCTAATCCACATCTTCAACCCCTCCCTCTCTACCGCCACCTTTCCCTCCCCGCTCAAACATACACTGGTTATCTCCATACCTAAAAAACCCTTGCTGGACCCCACCTGTTTGAACAACTTAAGACCCATCTCCATGCTCCCATTTGCCTCCAAGCTTCTCGAGCACTTTGTTCACAACCATATGAATTGCTATCTCACGGACAACAACCTTCAATCATCGACCACCTACCAGCTGCTAAAACCAATGGCCATTACTCCATACTCATACTCCTAGACATTTCTGCTGCCTTTGACACAGTCGACCACCCGCTCCTCTTCAGTAAACTCCACTCTCTTGGCCTCTGTCACTCTGCTCTCCTAGTTCTCCTCTTACCTTTGTCAGCACGCTTTCAGCGTCACATACAACAGCAACTCCTCCACTCCTCTTCCTTTTTTTGTTTCAGTACCCCAAGGCTTCGTCCTTGGGGCCCTCGTTTTCTCTCTCTATACCTCCTCCCTGGGCCAATTGATAACCTCCCTTGGCTTCCAATACCACCTCTATGCTGATGACACCCAGATCTATCTCTCCACTCCACAGCTCACCCCCTCAATCTCCTCACTTATCACAAATCTACTAAGCGACATGTCAGTATTGATGTCGCACCACTCCCTCAATCCAAATCTTTCTAAAACCGAGCTTGTAATATTTCCTCTTCTCCGATCCCCCACTCATGACTTTACCATTAACATCAACAGCATCACAATTGGTTCTTCCCCCTCATGCCAGGGTGCTAGGTGTAATTCTAGACTCTGATCTCTGCTTCGGGCTCCACATCTAATAACTGGCTAAATCCTGCTGCCTCAACCTCCGCAACATTTCCAAAATCCGCCCCTTCCTGACTAATGACACCACAAAACAACTTATCCACGCCTTAGTCATATTCTGCCTTGATTACTGATAATCCCTACTCATTGGTCTACCGTTACACAGGCTATCCCCCCTACAGTCTACTATGAATGCTGCTGCTAGACTTATACACCTTACCAACCAATCAGTGACTGCTGCCCCTCTCTGACAATCCCTTCACTGGCTTCCACTAACCCAACGTATAAAATTCAAACTACTAACCATAACATACAAAGCCATTCACAACACTGCCCTAGCTACATCAGCAACCTCATCCGCAGATATTGCCCAAATCACCAGCTCCACTCCTCCCAAGACAGCTTGCTCTCTAGCTCCCTCATCACCTCCTCCCACGCTCGCCTCTAGGACTTCTCCAGAGCCTCTCCCATCCTCTGGAACTCTCTACCCCAGTATGTCCGGTCAGCCCCCACCCTGTCTGCCTTTAGTCGATCTTTGAAGCCTACCCCACATCCACTCCAGCTCCACCTGAGAACTGTACTTGAGTCACCTCCATCAGATCATCCTCTTTTGTACCACTCTCCCTTTCTTTAGATTGTAAGCTCCATGAGCAGGGCCTTCCTATTCCTTCTGTACTGAACTGTATTGTAAATGTACTGTCTCCATTTATATTGTAAAGCACTGTGCAAGCTATTGGCGCTATATAAGTCCTGTATAATAAGAATAATATAATAATGAAAGCAACAAAGTTCCAGCAACGAGATACATAATATGAGTAAAAGAGCATAACAGTCCTCTAATGTAGTCTTCCACCAATAATCATAATTTCAATACCTCCGTATTTTAAAGTAAGAACTCATGAATGAACAGATGAAAAGACCACTATAATAGGTTTAATCACTCATGGTATATTGCAGTATTCCCATACTTCTAACAATTCATTTTAAACATTTGTTTTTTGCACCTTGTATGTACCTTTGTATGTCTCCTGTGTATTATTAAGAATATATGCATTATATATGATTATGAAATAGAATTTTTGATAGATATCTGGAGTTGGATTTAGTCAATATGTTTACATAGTATTTTTTTGATTGACATTTTATATGTAATCAGGAGCACTTGCTTAGGCTGCAGGTCACCTATTGTATGATATGAACATGCATTTAATTTCTGTAGATACTAAGAGGACAATGATAAACAAAGCAATAGGTAGCTCACTGCATGCCTTTGTTATAAACAAGCTAGTGGGGCAGTTAAATAGTTACATGTGTTCTGTGTTAATTGGCTTATTTCGATTTTAAAATGTCATACTTGGAGGCAGTTCTTGTAATTAGAGTGACATTTAAATACTGCGATTATAAACTTTAACATCGCTACAGGAGTCTGTATAGTAGAACATAGTGTGCTCTTCTTTGTTACTGCAGTTTTAGAAGAACTTTTCCAGATTTCTAGGGATGGATGTGATCTGTAGTACAACATTGTGTCAAGTTTGACTAAATTACATGTGGACTCGAACCAGGGGTGGACTGACAACTCATAGGGCCCCCGGGCAATAGGGGATCATGGGGCCCCTGTGTCCTTGCCCAAACTCAAAAAACCTATGAAAAAGGTACCAGGGGCATCTCATAGGGCCCCCTACTGACCCCAGGCCTTCAGGCAGTGCCTGAGTTTCCAAATGGTCAGTCCGCCCCTGACTTGAGCTCAAAAAGTTAAAGTGGAATTCGAGTCTATATCTAACTAATCTTAAATTTACTTCCCCCCCAGCTTCTGAGTCCTATTCTAGCTACCGTCTAGAAGGAAGGTACTTATACTTGCCTATTCTCAGGGCACTCCAGTCTGGTCATGTGATTGGCACCCAACTTCAAGGAAGAGGAAGGACAGCCAAAATGGATGCCCCATAGTAACATCGCCACCCAGAAATTTCAGCCGTTGATGGTGATCTATCCACTCTCCTGAAGCAGGCTGCTAGAGAGGTCATGTGACTGGACCAGAGCATCCTGAGAATAGGCAAGTATTTGCATCTTCTTTTTACATGGTAGTTAGGATAGGGGTTAGAAGGGGATGAGAGCAGGTTTAAATTTAGTTAAATATAGACTGAAATTACACTTTAAGATTTGCTATGCTATAGGGAATATTTAGTAATATTAATTGTGCTTAAGCAGGAGACTGAAAATTTTACTTTTTACTTGCCTCCCACCACATGGCAATCACCTGACGTTGGAACACCTTATGTTGGGTACACGCTATCAGTTTTTTTTTCTCGTTCAAACCCAGTGGGCTGAATGAAAAAAAAAAAAAACTGAAGAACTCGGAGGATCTCACTGTACTATCCAAAGTAGAGTGATCTCCCCGCTGAGCGATTGCGTTCTGAACTGCCAGAACACATTGGTCAGCATTGGCAGCCATTGGATGCCAGCACCTATTGGATACTGGTTTTCCAATATGGGGATTTGCCAGAAGCAGGCCGTTCACCCGTTTTTTATTGAACCGGCTTATACCGGCCACTATTCGGCCTGTGTGTATGGGGCTTAAAGCTCACTGTCCCTAGGGCCATAAAACCCTTCAGTCAATGGACTGAAATAACACAAATATGCACCTAAGCTAAGTTTTCAACCTTATTATGATTACACAACCCCCAATATATCCCCATAACTAATTGGCCAGGCTGTTAAAAACATCATCATCATCATCATCAGTCCTATTATGTACCAGTTTGATGTCAAAAG